AAGGGCCTGACCCGCAGGGAGCGGCTGGAGCTGCGGCGCCGTACCATCGTGCTGCTCTTCTACCTGCTGCGCTCCCCGTTCTACGACCGCTTCTCTGAGTAAGGTCCCCACCCTGCCAGGACAGGCTGGCCAGGCCAGGCCAGGGTGGAGAGGGCGGGGCCGGCCGGGCTGCCACACCCCTCCCCTTCCCTTTTCCTTCCCCTGTGTGGGTTCACCAAGCACCCACCATGTTCTATCCAGGAAGCAGTCACCAAATGCCAGCCTCAGCTCTCAGGCCCTCAGCGCATGCCTTTGTGAGCTTCCATGCTTGCAGGAGGGACACCCAGGGCGAGCTAGAGAGCATTGTAAGGGGCACCCACTCCCAGTGGCAGGTGCGGGATCTCCATACTCTCTGCTTCATTTCTACATCTTCCAGCCCAAGAGATGTAGAGGAGGCACTTGAGGTTCAGAGAGGACTGGGACTGAAAGACACGTACCAGGTGGCCGTGTGCTGTGGCCCACACCCATAATCCTAGCAACTAGGGAGGCTGAGGCAGGGGAATTGAAAGTTTGAGGCCTGCCTCAGCAACTTAGTGAGACTCTGACTCAAAATTTTAAAAATAAAAATAAAAAGGGCTGGGATGTGACTCAGTGTACAGTACCCCTGGGCTAAATCCCTGGTACCACAAAAATAATAATATTATGACCATCCAAACCCTGTTTTTTTCTGAGACAATAGAGAACAAACTTATGTCACATTTAATATTGCCTCACTGTTTTCAGATAAATTTTAAAATTTGTAGGGGACTAAAGCAAAATCCTCTTCCATACACAGGAAGAGAATGTTTCAGATACTAACGTGACCCTCCCCCATGCCTATACTGAGGAATTCTGAGACAGTGACTGCAGAGGTGGCTCCTGGAGCTGTGAGCCCTTCCCTGTGGCTCACTCTTCTCCTAACCCAAGCAGCCTGCGACCCACCAGAGCAATGGCCTGACTGAGACGTGTCTGTGAATCTGCCACAGAAACTTCTTGTTTCCCTGGGATAGGGAGCAGGAGCCCAGCGGGCCCTGGGACGTAGTCCACACGGGACGGTCTTAGTGCCCCTTTGTCCAGCAGTTTCTGGAGCGGACCTGCCTCCTGGTTCTGTGGCCTTGAGCCACTTCCTTGACTTGTCTGTGCCACGTTTCCTCATTTATAAATTGGAGATGATGACAGTCCCCACCTCCCAAGGCTGCTGAGGGGCCATATGACTCAATACATAGGGTCATGGTCGTGCCAGGTATGTTATGGCCTTATACTTCCCACTTCCTCTGGTGCTGGGACTCACCCAGGGCTAGGGCTGTACCCGACCAGTGAGCCACAGCCCGCCCGCGCACATAGCCCTCATCGTGGCCCTCATCGTGGCCCTCATCGTTTCTTAGTGTTATCTTGGACATCATCGTCCTCTTGTGTCAGGTTCCCCTTTTTATCTCTTGGAAAACAGGCCAGAGTATGCCCTTTTCAGCACTGTGTCCCCTCCTGGGGCCCTGCCTGCTCAATGTTGGCTTGTGAGATTTCTGTGTGGCTCAGCTCTTCTGATAGATGGGGGCTGCTGGGGACGGGGGCATCCTCTCCCTGGGGGCTTGCAGCACACTGCCCGTGCCCTGCTGCGGGCTCTGGAGACCACTGTTGTTGAATATCAGTAGAAAGGAGGGGCGAAAAGGGAAAGGAGGACCCGGAGGAGGGCGTCTGGGAGGCCATGTGCACCGACCGCCAACATGGGCTTCCAGGAGAACGGGGCGGGCGAGGACAGAGACCAGGGCCAATGCAGCACCTCTCCGTTCGTCCTGGGTCCTGCCTGCTCCTGTCTTCTGGGGGGCCCTGTTGTCCAGAAGTCAGTGAAGGCTTTCGAGGGGTGCCGCACCCTTACTTAGCCTCTCCCTGTTTCTCTGTCCAGGGCCAAAATCCTTTTCCTGCTGCAGCTGCTGGCAGACCACGTGCCCGGTGTCGGCCTGGTTGCGAGTAAGTGTGGCAGCCACTCTGTGGCTCTGGAGCAAGGGACACATGCGGCCCCATCTCCCTGTCTGCTCTTTTTCTCTGTAATTTGATCCTTGACACATCCTAGAGAGGGAGCCCAAAGGCAAGATTGGGTGGGTGACAGTTGCTGGTGGCAGAGGGTGCCCTTGATGGGAGATAGCCAGGCCACGTCGTGCTGCCAGCCTTCCCCGTCTTAGCATCCTAGAGAAAGGCAAGGCCGTCCCCCCTGAGTGGACCACTCCCCGGGGAGGGGGAGGGGGAGAAGGGTCCTCCCTCTGGACATCCCACCTCAGCAGAGGGCAGCGTGGCTCCACACTGTCCTGTCAGTGCCTATGAATGGCTGAGGCATTTGGCTGCCCTGAGCCTAAGGGTCCTTGTCTGTAAATGGGGACAGAGATCCCTGCTGATGCTGCCACCCTGGGGCTGGAGAGGGCTTCAGGGGCGGCTGCTGGCAGTGACAAGTGCGTGGTAGGGGCTGAGGAAGGCCTATGCGGGGCAGGGCGTCCCAGGCCCTGCGCTGACCCGGCCCCTCTCATTGCAGGGCCGCTCATGGATTACTTGCCTACTTGGCAGAAAATTTACTTCTACAGTTGGGGCTGACAGACATCTTGGGATTGGGATGCTGGGGGAGCAGGATGACATGCTCCGCCACCGGGACAGGGCCGCCTCAGCCTTCAGTCCCCCCACCTCCGTCCCTCATCCCTAATAAAATTGACTCTGGCACTGTCCAAGCATGTGGCTTCTCCATGCCCACTGCTTGACACCTCCCCTGTTCTGGCCAGGCTCTGTACAGCCCTGGTCACGACTGATGCTGTCCCTCGGAGAACCTTGACTGGCGGCACCTTCCTGTGATGGAACCCTGCGGCTCGCACCCGCTGGGCCTGGGGTCCTGGTTCCTCTAGCCACAGAGAGTTGCACTTCGCCTTCTGGAGCTGGGCAGCTGCGTGCCTCGGCAGCTGTGGGAGTAACTGCTCACTGGTCCCGGAGAAGACAGAGCCGCCAAACCAACTGTGCAATGGATGACAACTGCCCACTCTGCTGTGTGGCCATGGCCTCCATTTGTCCTTCCCCTGCAGGGTCCGTTGCTCTTGGCCACAGCGCTTCCAGACTCCTGTGACAGCTGTTGGATGGGATGAAAATGCTGTGCAGACCCCAGCTCTCCAGTTGAGAGTCAAAGCCGTTCCCCACTGGGGAGAGGGCAGGCACCAGGCAGTCCTGGGCTGGGTGAGGGGAGAGCCTGGGGCTCTGAGGAAAGCCAGGCCAGTTCAGGGTGTGAGCTGAGGTCTCCTGCACTTGCTCGGTGGGCTCCGAGGTGACCAAGTCTGCATGGGGCCCTGTAGGCTGTTGTGGAGCGGGAGGGGCCTGACTCCTGTTCCTGGTGTTCCTGATCCTCTCCAGCCCTTAGGTGCTGGAGGTTCCGCCTACACCATGCACTCAGCTCGCCTCCTGGGGCTGCCCTGGCTGGTGAAGGGCCTGGGAGGGGCAGCCTCACCCTGACTTGGCTCTCCCCAAGTCCTTGTGAGAAGCACCCTGGGCCCCATGCTGGGGCATCGATGCCCATGCCTTGGGCAGGGAAGAGGGCAGCCTGTCCTCGTGACCTTCAGCTAGTCCAACAAGTGTTCCTGGCACCGGTTCCACCCCAGGCTGTGCACCGCACGGTGTGGTCAGAGATGCATAGAGCCAGAGTCCCGCTTCCAGTGCCCACAGTAGTAAAGCAGATGTGTGTAGTGTGCACGTGCCACACTAGGGTCCTTGTGACAAATGGAAGTGTACCAGCAGGGGGTGGCAGCGCTGTAGCTGGTGTCCCAGTGGTGACTGGCTGTGAGCAGTGCCTTAAGAAGCTGCGCACTGTTATGCCGGCCGGCCCCAGTTCTGTTGCTCTGGGTTTGGTTTACTTGTTCCCAGTTTGGTGCCGGGGGTCAAGCCCAGTATCCGAGCTACTCTCCCAGCCCGTGTTCATCAGGTTTTTGACATGCAGTCTGGGAAGATGAGGCCATGTGCAGAAGATGACCTGTGTGGTGTCACAGTGATGTGGAACAGTGTGAAGCGCTATTGTCACAGGGCAGAGGGTGGAGTGGGCAGGACCAGGTAGCACAAGGCTGGAGGGAAGGTCCAAACCCCAGGCCTGGGTGTGGGGAAGGGGTGTGTTTGAAAGGGCTGGAGGGCGGGATAAGAGGAGCCTTGACCCTGGGGCAGAGGCCTCCATGGAAGGCTTGTGAGCCGTGTGGCTCAGGGCCTGGGGGTGAGGTGCTGGAACCCCAGCACTTGTCTGCCTCAGGGGGATACTTGGGACCAGGAGTCAGGGTTGGAAACAAGGGACATCCCTTTCTGGTCCTTGGGTATCTCCGCAGTTAAGAAGAGGGTTAGCTAGCTGACAGGACTGTTGTCTCAGGAGCAGCCGGGTTCCCAAGCTCCTGGCCCCAAGGCCCAGCCCTCTGGTTTGGGCACCACCACTGCAGGGAGTGGGGGAGTGGGTGTGGCACCTGGTGGCCACAGGAGCTAACCAGGCCCCTCGCAGGGATGTGGGGCCAGGCGCTCTAGTCAAGGCATCAGGAAGCAGAGAGGACCTTGCTGTGGTGGCCACTACTCTGCCTCCAGCCTGCAAAGGCATTCGGTGTCTGCTATTCTCTCATGACACAACTGTCCACTCAGATTCTCAGCTGAGCACCTACTAGGTATCAGGAGCTGGGGATTCCACAGTGAGCCTGTCCCTGCTCTCCTGCAGCTAGTACTCTAGGGAACAGGTCCAAAGCTTTGCCCCCTCTTGGAAACCTTATATCCAATGCTAAGGCCAGTGTCTGTGGAGTCCCCTGATGTGTTTATGCCACAGGAAGCAATGTAGGAAGTGCTGTGCGAGCTGCTGCCCCTCACCCCAAGGACTCCGGGCCATTAGGGCTGAGCGGCCCCCTCTGGCTCCTTCAGCCAGCCGACTTTCCCAGGGCTAACATGTCAGCAGGGGAGGTGGGGATGGTGGGGGAGCAGGTGGGGAGGCTGGGGGCCTGGTCACACTCTGGTCAGCGAGCCTGCAGTAACCTCTGTGGGTGGTGCTGTCTGCTGGACCATGGGCGATTCACGGGAGGGGAAACTAAGGCACAGATAAGTGACTTGTCGGGGTGGCCTGCTCCCCTTGGGCACTTACACTAGATCGGGTTTGGGACCTGTTGGCCCACAGGGTCGGTAAAACTGAATGTGCCTCAGGGTGGAAGCTTCTGGCCATGCGTCAAAGCAAGTGCTGACGCCGAGCCCCGGAACTATTGTCCTTTGTGAGGTGGCCCTGGGAGCTGGCAACGGATTCCGATCTGGGGGAGGGGTGGGCAAAAGCCTGACCAGGGCCTGTGTAGGAGATGGTTCTCGCCATGATGGGGGCTCTGTACCCCAGGGCTGGGCTCAGTCTCTTCCTCTTGTACCTCATCCTGGCGGCGGCTCTCCTTCGCCCCCAGCCCCTGAGGTAAGGCCAGGCCCCAGCACTGGGAGGGTGTGCTGCCCCTGCCCTCCCAGAGGACAGGCTGGCCTTGTTATCCTGGGCTCGGGGGCTTGCCAACTGCCTCACCCCGGGCCATCTCCCATTCACAGGGAGGTGGCAAAGCCTTTGGGGTCAGGCTGAGCACCCCCAAATCTCCCACAGGTCTCAGCGGTCTGTTCCTGAGGAGTTCTCCGCCCCGCTGGAACTCTCGCAGCCACTTTCCGGACTGATGGATGGTAGTCCTCCTCCTCCTTCCCCTGCCTGCCCCTGGTCCCCAGGGGAGGTGCCCAAGAGAAGGCCTCCTGGGGCGAGGCCCTGTTTAAGCTGACCCCACAGCGGCTCCTCCCCCATTCCTTCCCTCTTCTCTCCTTAGACTATGGGGTCCGACCCAAGCACCCTTGGCCACGAGGGCCTCGGCCCCTCCTCTCCCAGGCCCAGCAGCGCAAGCGGGACGGGCCAGACATGGCTGAGTATTACTACGATGCACACCTGTGACAGGAGGCCCGCATAAAGATATTCTGTGCAGCTGAGGCTCGGCTTTCCTGCCGCGTGCAAAGGGATGCGGGGGGGCAGTGCGCGAAGATACAGCCACTGTGGTCCAGACAGGAAATGGCACTTTTAATTGTTATGGCCAGGGTGACAAGACCATGACAAACTGGCCCGGGCATTGGGAGGCTGCCCCTGCTGGGCAGGGCCTGCTGGAGGCTGCTGCTGCCCTGGGAGCTCCCGAGCCTGCCAGGGGCCAGCATGCTAGTGAGGTGGAGGTGGAAGCCACCAAAGAACCCACGATGGCTGGGAACAGGGACTTCACCTCCACCTGCTGCCATTTCCTTACTAGAGAGTCCTTGGGAGGTGGCGGGGCTCGGCCAGGCTCAGGGCGCTGGTGGGGTTTGGGTTGGGGGAAGGTGGCATCTGCAGGTGGCGTGGGCTTCACGAAGGCAGAAGCCAAGAGCCAGAGAGCCAGAGCCCCTGGCAGAGGAAGTACAGCCCAGGCGGGGGCAGAGCCTCTGCTCCCAGAAGGTACACCCTTCACACCAGAGGCCGGACACCCAGCCCTGCCCTGCCCCTTCCAGTCCCCAGCGGCCGCTGACCTCCATAGATGAATCTAATCCCATATATTACAATAAACTGCATCTGCCTCTCCCTATAACCCTGCCCCCCCACCCGGGCCAAGAGCCCCCACTCTCCCGTCCTCTGGTGGCCATCCTCCTCCTGAGCAGTGCCATGTCCTGTCAGCAGCGAGCTGTCCTGCCCTGAGGGCCCAGGGGATGCGGAGGGCAGGGCGGCGCTGCTACTCCAGGTAGATGTCCTCCGTGGGGCAGGTGTACTCCACGAACTGCTTGTAGAACTGCTGGAAGGCTCGCCTAGGAGGAGGTCCACGGGTCACTAGGCAGCCTCCCCGGGGCCACAAGACCCCCACCCGGGGTTGTAGGGGATGTCAGGTGGGAGCCCCGGAGCTCTGTCCTCTGTGGAACTGGCTTCCTGATTAATTTGGCATTGAAGGAAGGGCCCAGCAACTGACAGCTTGGAAACCACCTGGACCGCCCAGCCCTCCCTCCAGGCCACCACACTAGGGTCTAGAGATGGGCTTCCAAAGCCGCAGGGCACACTGAGGGGAGACAGCATGGGGGACCAGATCCCAGGCCTGCAACCAGGGCCTGCCCCTTGGTGGGAACTGGCAGGACACGCGCGTACCCCACGGACTCTGCCAGGGCTTTGGTGGAGTCTTCAGACACAAAGACATGGCAGGCAAACCGGTGGTCGGCAGGGTGCTTGGTGATGAACCCGAAGTACCTGTGGAAGAGGGGTCCAGGAGTGCGGAGCTCACTCCCCACACCAGCATGGCTCCGGGCCTCCCCGACACCCACCTCTGCCTCCGCCCCAACTCACTTGTTGTTCTTTGGGTGGTAGCCACAGAAAGAGATGTTCTTCAGCTGGAAAAAGTGGCTACACTTATTCACCTACAGGAGGAAGAGAGAGGCCGCAGGGGCACGCCTGTCAAGGCAAATTTAGTGGGAGGGCTATTGGCTTGAGGAAGGGCCAGCTCAGAGTTGTCACCTTGGCCTCCTGGGAGTCATCGGCCTTGACACCTATCTTCACACCCCTAACGCTGATCTCAAGGACGCAGCTGGAAGGCGGGTTAAAGTGCACGGTGAGCCGGCGGGTGGTGGCAATCTGGGTGAGGGACAGGGACACGTCAGGTGCTGTCTGTCCCCCCGTCCCCCCAACCAGTCTCTCCTGTCCTAGGGTCTCTAGACCCCTGTGCCCTTTTCCCAAGAGACAACTGTGCACTGGGCTGAAGGTGGCACCCACAAAGGAAGCCGGATCCAGGTACCTTTTGCATAGCAGCGCACAGGACGTCGTTGCCCTTGTGATAGGGAACCTGGACTGAGCCCAGGAACTTCACCCGGAACTGGTCCACCCAGTCGCTGTTTTTGGCCAGGGCTGGAAAGCAAATGTGAAGTGAGCAGGAGTGGGCTTGGCAGCCCAGCACAGGGAGGGGGAGGCGTAGGGAGTGACATGGCCAGCAGGGGGTGCCACAATCCCCAGAAGTTCCAACCTGGCTGGGCCTCACTCTGCATTAGGAGATAGACCTGAAATCACCCACTCGTCCCTTCCCTGGCTGCCTGAGATCTGGGGCACACGTTCACCTGGCAGCAAGGCCGGCAGGCAGATGCCAGGGCTGGTGGCACCAGGTGAAAGAGGGAGACTACCTGCCATGTGCTCAGGCTCCTTGGTGACCTCAATAGCGTAGTAGGCAGGAAAGACGCCTCGGGCACCAGTGCGCATGTTGTAGGCCTCATACCAATAGTCCTCAGCCTGCAGCTCCACCAGCAGAGGGTCGTCCACCTCTAGCTCAAGTTCGTCTTCATGTCGAGGCACAAACCTGTCCCCAACAAGGGCATGTGAGGAATTCCTCAGAGGACCTCTCTAGCCAGTGGCATCTTTAGTTCAATAAACATTTGCAAAGTATCATGTACGCCTGTCACAGCGCAGGCTCCTGGGGAACTAGCACCAGTCATACCCACATCTTCCATCTAGGAAGCCAGGGGACAGGACAGGGGGGGACACAGAGGTCCTAAGGTCACGGGGGGAGCACAGGGCCTGGAGGGGGCTGGAGAGTGGATGAGGGTCATCCTTCTGGTCTCCCTCCAGGACACCCTGTCCCAGCCAGGGTAGGTATACAAGTCCTGGCTTCCTCATGGCACCTCAGTGCTTGGTCGCCATGCTCTGAGTTCCTAAAAGCTGGACTCTGACCCCTGAGGCTTAGTAGATGTCAAGTGCAAGGGTTTGGGTTGGGCTGCGTGGTGAGGGCAGAGGCAGGGAGGGGTACAGCCCTCACCTGAATATGGCCCGGTGGGTTTGCTCCTGCTCCTCCCCATTGATGACACAGGAGAACAGGCCAAAGGACTCTGCACCTGTGGGGAGGGGACAGGCTGGAGGAGGGTGGCCCAGCTCAGGCTGAGGCTTAGGAGGGCAGGCAGAGTTCTGTGCTCCTAGTCAAACCAGGATGCCGCGTCTTGGCTCTCCCCACCCGGCTGCCCCGCAGCTCCCCTGCTCACTCACTGGAGGAGCGAGAGCGGCCGCTCATGAAGACGTTCAGGAACTTCTTGGAGAAGTGGACATCAGGTTCATCAGGTGTGGAGTCCTCTGAGAGGCAGGTGGAGGGCCGAGGCCGGGGGGCCTCCTCATATTCCTCCCCAATGGCCGACTCATAGGGTGAGGAGGCGGAGGCACAGTTGTCATAGACGGTGGCTGAGTCGCTCTCGTCACTGTAGTCTCCAAAGCATGGCCTCAGGCTCACCAGCTCCAGCTGCGCATGCTCGTCCACCACCAGTGTGTACTTGACCGAGTCGTAGGACAGAGCGCTGGTGTCGGAGCTCAGTGAGGCCCTAGGAGGTGGCGGGGGCTCCCCTAGGCTCCCCCGCCATCCTCCGCCTGGTGGCTCGGCCCGCTCTGGGGATGATAGGCAGTCAAAGCCCTCATCCTCTTCACTGATGGAGGGGTGTGGCCGCCCTGCAGCGGAAGGGTAGGCAGCAGGGTCTGGATCCGAGCTGACGGACATCCGGCTCTCCGTGGGCGGCAGGAAGGCAGAGGTGGGCTCTGCGGGGTCTGGAGGCCGCTGCACGGGTGTCAGGTAGATCTCCTCAGTGGCCTCTAGCCGCACGTCTGCCTGGTAGTGGATCCGGTCTCGATGGGAGTGGCCCAGGCCACCAGGCGCGGCAGCAGGGGGTCCACCTGGAGGTGCCATCTGGGTGGCAGCACTGCGGCGACAAGGGCTGTCAGTGGAGGTGCCTCGATCCTTGGTGGGGGCAGGGCTGCCCTGAGGCGGCAGCTCATCGCTCAGGCAGATGTGTTCGTGTGGCGGTGTCTGTTCCCCTGGAGGGCAGGCAGGTTGGTGCTGAGGGCAGGACCCCGGCTACCTGCTCCCTCTGCACCAGCTGGTCCACACACAGACTGAGACAAAGCCTCCCCAGGCACTAGGCCCCTCGAAGACTCTGGGGCCAGTTGACTTGCTCATGTCACAGCTGACCTCAGCTCCCAGCTGGGCTTGTAGAGTGTACTAGGTGGGCAGTTGACCTCCACTTGGAAGGTGGAGACCGCTGGGTCTGCTCTCAGCAGCAGAGACTGAGTCAGGGCAGGCTGAGGCCCAGCTCATGGAGAAGGGTCTCAACTCACCTGTCTTTAGGGGTGAGGATGATCGAGACACCCGATCCTGCCAACTGTGCTTTTTGCCAAGAGAATTATTATTCAGTGTGTCCTGTGCAGGGAACAAAAGGCCCTTGTGAAGAAGCAGTCAGCAGTGCCCGGCACAGGGAGGCCCTGGCCCTGCCCCCATCAGGCCATCCCCAGGCTATGTGCTGCACCCATCAGCTTCCCCTTGCCAAGGCCTCTCTCCCAACCCTCCTCTGGAGCAGGCAAGAGGGTGCAAGGAACAGTCCTGCCCACCAGGCCTGTTGGCACTAGATGGCCTTCCCTCTTGGCTCAGGAATGCTGGCCAGCCCCCAGGGAGGTGCCCCCATCAGCCTCAGCAAAGTGGCAATGGCTAGTGTGTGGGTGAGTAGGGGAGGCTGAGGGGGACAAGAAGGGGCTCCCTAGAGACATTCAGCTCCACACTCTGGACATGAAGGGGTTACATGTAAGACACAAATCCAGCCCTAGTGGAGGACCAGGTGATGCCCTGCCCTGGGACTCAGGAATCTATGGCCTGGGAAGGACCAGGGGCATTCTGGTAGCACCTGAAAAAAGCACAAAGAAGGGTCTCCCCAGCAGTTGGCCTGGGGGACTGGAACGAATCTGAACATCTGAATGATGACTCCATAACCTGGCCCCTCCCCACAGCTGCACAGGACTGAGGAATGACAGATGAAGATGTCACCAAGCCTCCCTCCTGAATCTCCTGCTTGCCTGTCCACACTCTCAGCCCCTTGGGACCTTCCACAGTGCCCACATATGAGGCTCCCACATACAACCTGGGCTCCCTCCCAGAGAACACTCTCCAAAGCCTGCACATTCACGAGCTG